TGAACAAAAAGAGGCATAATACTGGGAGAAGTCTGTATGGGCTCCCATTCAAGGGTTCCATCGAAACCAAGTGAAGAAAAAGTTTATCATTATTAAAGAAATGAAATAGAAATGATGATATAAAAGTAAAGAAATAACATAGTTAAACTAATGAAGGACATACCATGTTAAGCCTAATTGAATAGTATAGAAGAAAAACAATGAAGACTAATTACAATTTGTTACATAACTTAGTATTAACTAATCTAAATAAGCGTATGTTATGGAATTCAAATAATTACAGATAATAATATTAATAATAAAATTGTAAAATGTCTTATCTTTCCAAAGTCAGCAAACTATATGGCAAATGGTGGACCATGAAGCACGAGGCGAAGTACGACAAAAGTCTGGACATTAGATGATCAAACTTCTGACAAAATAAGGCGGAAACTGTCCATGGAGTAATGTGAATGAAAACCATTATAAATATATTGGGGAACAGAGGCTACATAATGGAAATGAAGAACCAAACACTTGAAATTTGGTGGTGGAAAAAGGCTATCAAGATCTCCATCAGCACGAACAAGGTTGGCTTCTACAGGAGGAATTGTGGGCGATAACCGAAGTAAGAGGCCGATCTTTTTAACTTTCAATCTCCTGGAGGATAAACACTGATAAAAACCCATGCTAGATTACCCACACCTGCACCCTGTGAGATAGTGCTAGTTGTTGGCATGACCCCCAAAGTGGTAACATTAGCTTCAGGATAGGACTGGAATAAGCTGGGATAAATGAAAGCAAATTTTAAACTCCAGAGAATCTAGAAGTTATAATAAATGAAGACCACTCAGTGAGTGAAAAAAAACAAACGTCCAAGTACAAGTGCTGCCAAACAAGAAGTGATAGTATTCTTTGATAGAAGTGACAGTTTAGTAGAAAAGTATAGAGGGAGCACATGCATCACATGACTACATCACACTCCATTGGTGGAGAAGTGATGCATGATGATTTGCATGAGAGACTTGTTGGAATCACTAGATTCCAATAGGGGGAGCAGAAGGCTTGTAGATTGCATTAAAAAAAGTTCGCATATAGAGGGCAGCACTGAATGGGAATAGCTAATTTTGTGAGCGAAGAGAATTACAGTATCGGAACAAATCTTTAAGAATTTTCGTTGAGGTTTCTTTTGAAATAAAGGAATTAAAACTTAGATAATATAAAACTTTGAACTATAATGTAAATTTTAATGCTGATTTCATTGTCAAAAATGATCATAAAATAGCTTAATTAAATTTTAAATGTAACTAAGTAAAATCTTGTGACATGCACATAAAAGGGTGCCTGTAAGAAAGGAGCTAAGTGAATTAGCCGTGACCTGCAACACAGTTGTGATAGTTTTCATGCCCTTCACTTGAATTTTCCTTGTTTTAACATTTTCATGCATCCCATTTATACTATGCTTGCAGGCATTATGTGTTACATCAATAAATTCTGGTGTATTTGAAAAAGTTTTGTGCATTCACACAAACAAATTCACACAGATGTAACTTTAATAAAATTATGCATATGTAATAAAACTACACATAAAGTAAACAATAGAATAAAGTAATGGTATTTATAATAGTGTACAGAGTATGAAACAGTTATGAGTGGTCAGTGTATGACATGGTGTGCGAGTTTAAACAAAGAAACTCATAAAAACGATGAATAAAACCCACAGTAAAGAAAAAAATAATTACAAGGTATTTATAACAGTCTATGAAACAAACCAAAGCTTAATTATTGCAAAGTAAAGTAAGCGTAAATGTGTAATGAAGGCATAGCAGAAACGTCTGAATGAGTGTTTACAAAGTGATAAGCATATGGTTTTGAATGAACTGCACAAGCATATTGTTACGTCTCTGTATGTTTGTTAATTCTTCTAAGATACAAGTCCTTTCTTTATAAAACTTGTTTATTCTTCCTCAATACAACTTTGTAATGTACTTAATTTTCAGTTACACACACTATAGTTCACAACAATTCACTCACTTTCTATCGCGTTTAGACTTAATTGTCCGTCCCTGCAAACTATAGTTCCGATCTCTCTGTCTGCTATCCTCAGTTCCCGCCGACCGTAATCACTGTCTCTCTCTCTCTGCCTGTTTCGTCTCTGTCTCCACTACTGCTTCGACTCCGTCTGTCTCTCTCACTGTCTAGCGCACTTAAATACGATAATACTGCCTGTTCTAGAAACTTCTAAGACTCTCAACACGTGCTACCAGCGTCACTTGAATTCCGCTGCCGTCACGTGACCCCTGCTGTCATAGCACACTAGCGAATCTTCTAGAATACTCGTCACGTGACCCCCGCTGTCGTAACAATATTTTAGACCTAAATAAGTCAAGAAAGCCCATAGAAATTGTATTTAGTGTAATGTTCATTTTATTTTTGGGAAAGTAGATGAAGGTTAAATGTTGTTTGTGTGAAATACTTTGCAAATAAAAAATATAAAGTTGAAATTGAGGCAAGTTATCACGTGATGACAACAAAATTGTGTCATCACATACTACACTGAGATGTGATTCTGAATTGAAAAGCCAATATGCAATCTGGACTCATCAGACAAAGATCTTTCTAATAATATGAGACTTACAGCTTTTAATCAAGAAATTTGTGAAAAAAGTTTCAAACAGAGAAATGCAAGTGTATTATTTATATAGATAATGAAGTTAACAAGGCAAAGAATAATGACAGTAATTAATGCAATTTGATATATATAACTATATAGGTAATCATCACTGTTATTTAAACTGGAAGTTGTTACTTTATTAGCCTACATTACAATCAACAAGTAGATGCACTCATCACTCAGTTAGATGTCAATCAATGGGAAAAACCCTGTAATTAAAAAGTAATGGCAGGAAATGGTGGTGAGAGCTTTTGGCATGATGATCTTGCAACAAAGCCTCTTGTAATGGAAACTACATTACTTGGCTAATGTCAAGGTGCATAGTAACTAGATAGAGGATGATTGAATATGGCAACATGGACTATAATGATGTGGTTACAATCCACAACTGTTCTAACATAATGTACTCATGATATACAATCACATCAGTGTCATTAATACCTGCTATGTCCACACTTTGCTGCATATGCCACATACAACATTATATATGGATCAGCTTCCTCATTAATAAATGAGTCCTCTCTAATGAGTGAACTCAGCACTTGGAAAATCCTCAGTCGCATGTATACTAAAGGGTTAAAGAGGTTCAAGGGTTACTGTACTAAGTGACAGATATAACATTATTTTATACTTATAAATTGCTTAAGCAGTTTGAATTATTAAAAGCAAGCAACATGAATAGTTAAGAAGACTGATTCAATTGCATATGTACCATATTCTGGAATATTTAAGCCACCAGAAGTTACTGCCAAGTGAGTTTCACATCCAAAAATGTTCAATATGGGTCAATGTATGCTTGTAGGTTCTTTTAATCTAAAATACAAGGTTTTTGGCATAACTGGTCCACTACACCTCAGTTCCCCCCTCCCCCTGCAAAGCTGTACAATAGGCTATCTGCACTCTGTACACTATAGAGAATTGAATCCCAGATCTTAGCATTGTAAGTTTGTATACTTACTGCAAACTCAATAGATGACTTGCTACATCTTCTATCCAAAGATAAGACAATAACTAACTGCAAAATTAAAGATAAGCAAGTTCCTGAAGGTAGAATTATATAGCTTTTGCTCTCAAGAAAGAAGAAGCTAGGTGTCAAAGATGGTAGATACTATATCAGAGATCACTGGGATAGAAGAGGGAATTATAGTCGAGATGTCCAAAAGAATGTAAGAAGATGAGTCTCTATGCAGATATAAAATCCAAGACTGGAAACAGAACTATCCCAAACGCCACTCTTTAAGTCAGTGAATAAGTTAAAGAAAACTACAAAAAAATCTGGAATTTTATAACACAAGAATAAAAATGTGAAAGAAAAAACACTTAAGGTTAGAAGGGACAAAAAACATGTTAGTCATAAAATGGGAAACTTAGCTATATTTTACTTTGACCCAATAATAAAGCATAACAATAAATATATGAAGCATACACAACTGGAAAAGATACACACACACAAAAAACAAACAAAATAAATCCACAAAACAGTAAAAAAAAAAAAAAGTTAAATATGGCAAAAAAACAACTTATTGTTTAGTCAGTCCATAATACACATAGAAAAAAAGTTAAGTAGGCAATAAAGGACACTGACTAAGAATTGAAAAAGTAAGGCTATCCTCCAAGAAGGCACTAGGCAGCAACTTAATGTATCACACAAACAAAGTCTTTGGTGAATTAGAGGTACCACTTTGATCAGAGGTTTGCTTAAAGAGTACAGAATAATCAAAGCCATTATTTGACAAATGATTGTGTGTGTCAACATATAACTGGCAAACTTCTGGTTCACTGTCACTAAATGTGGCATATAGTTTTAGGACCTCCTCCCCCATGAGTGGCATTAGTGTGGTGGGAGAACAGTGTTGTATCTGATCCCCATGTGTTGAACAGGTACACTAGTGCTAGTAATGAGCTATCTGGATACTGATAAATTTGAATCTTACAAGCACCTTGAAGTCTTTTGTTACTTTATTTAGTACATATGACTTCACATTCCCAATAAAAAATACATTCTACTAGTTTAATTCATTCTACTATTTTTAATAACATATAATTGAGTGGCAGTAACTTACGTTTTTAAACATTAAAGTAAATACAAAATCAGTTTTCTGAAAAATACCTTGAAGATTTATAAACTATTTCATATTTGTATGAGTTATATATTTCCTTGTTTTTCTACATTAGTATATTAACTAAATATACAATAACAGTTATAATTTTTTTCATAAAAAGGTGACAACTTCCCATTAGGTACATGTACCTTACTACGATATAACACAAGTGGTGATGACTATTTCAACTGAGAATACCACGTTTTATAAATCCTAGAAAAAAAACAAGTAAATGTAGTACTTACTGTTCTCCACTTCATCAAAGTTGGCACACACTTTATCTTTAGCCTATCATCCATACGGAAATCATTTTGAATGTTTTTCCAGCTGAAAATTTACACAAGAGTTCTGATAATTAAAAAAATTACAACAACAATAATAAAGACAATATAAAACCTATGGATTGAACTGTTACTTATTATCATGAAGACTTACGGCAGATAAACTATGAAAATGTTACTGTGTTTTCTTAATCGGAACCAGGTAGCCAAACTCCTATTTCTCATGCATTTGATATTCATAACACATGAGTTAATTTGGTAAGAATAATATGTAAGTATTTTGGTTAAGAAACCTTAACTGAATTAAGAAACATGGCTAATGGTTTCCAATATTAGTTCAATCACTGGCCAGATAACTCCAGTCAAACATATTTATATAACATCAAACCTTTTATAAATACCTCACAGAATACTTTGAATATAAACTATGTAATGTTAACTTTTAAACAAGTAAAGTATACGAGATAAATATCTCACTCAACGACATTTATAAGCTAAGAAAAAAATCATATCAGCCATTTTAAGTAGCTGCATTATCTTATGATGAATTGTAATAAAACAAAGACACAAGAATAATTTATGCATTACAGAATGTCTTATTATAGATTATATAGTTTGAGTAACAGCTAGGACATGCTTCCCACTGAATTACATTCTTATGCTATGAAAAAATCACATCAAGTTCATGTAACTGCATAATTTAATGCCAAATTAATTTTTTACAAAGAATAACTTGCATTTAATCATTGAAAAAACTCTTCTTAGAATAAATACCATTATAGCAACATCTATTTTTCATACCAAGTAAAAATATTTTTGCAAAATGTTCTATTCTCTTTGTAAATTTTTTTTTATAAATCGTAATTACTTTAAAAAACCTCTTATTTCCTCATAGAATGAAATACAAGAACAGCACCTTCAAGAGGAAACTACTGAACACAATAGAACTAATTTTACTCTTTGTACTGAAACTTTTAAAAAGAACTCAATCTTACCCTTAAAACTATTATCAATTAGAAGTAATATGTACTATGTAAACATATCAATAAGGAAAACTCCCACACTTTAATCCCTTCCTAATCAGAACACAAGATTCAATAAGTTTTATAATTAACTTCTAAAACATCATCATGCAACAAAAGCTCTCGACCAATAGGATGGCAACACACCTCAATGTGCAATAACTCCCCCCATGCACTTGCACTCATGAAACTTCATTCTCTGATGAAGGAAGGAAAAAAAAAGATGCACTGAAAGCGAGAAGGATTGGTTGGAATGTGATGAGGTCAGGGCCAGCCAACCCAAGCTGCACAAGGTTGGTAAACTGAAAGATGAGATGGATGCTTTCCTGAAGAGGTATGAAAGATTTGCCCAAAGTTAGAATTGGGACAAGAGAGACTGGACAGTCTGTCTCAGCCCACTTCTCACAGGAAAAAAGGCCAATAAGTGTATCAAGGCATGACATCAGAAGATGCTATGGCAATGCTGAATGCTATGAACTTACTGAAAAAGTTTTTCGTTGAAATTTTAGAGAAGTCAAACCTGAGACTGGGGAAGTGTTTTTCAGTTTGTGTCACGCCTACAGCGTTACTTTACAAGATGGACCGACATGGCCAAGTGTGAAAATACTTATGAGGGACTGGCAGATCTACTAATACATGAACAGTTCATGCTCCTGTGCTCCACTGTCACTCAAGGAAAAAGCCCCAAAAAGACAGGGATGAGATGATCAAGCTGGCAGAACAGTATATGGAAGCCCATGGAGGGAGCATACCTAGTAAGTCTAAGAATAACAAATTAAAGTTGAAACCAGTGGTGGCTGACCAAAAGCAGGAATCTGCCAAAGGTGATAGAAGATTAACAGACAAATGGGACAAGAAATGCTACATTTGTTATAAAATATAACATTGCAAAGGAGTGCAAGTCCATCACCAATAAGCAAAAGCAGAAATCTCAACATAAAGCAGCTGGAGCTACCTAAAAATATGCTGCTGGTAAGAAACAAAAAATGAGTGACTGTCACCACGGATGCTCCTGCCAGCCCCAACCAGATAGCCAAGGATCCACAACTCAGTGTTGGAATTAAGAGGTCTTTGGTTCCTACATCCTACATTGGTGGCAAGGGCAACTGGACCACAATGAGATATACTTTGTATTAGATCTCAACCTGTAGCCATAGAGTGATGTGTTTCAAACCACCAGAATTATGAAAAGAAAGGAAACAACACTGAAGTGGACAAACTTTCCATTCCAGCTGAAGAAGACCAAAAGGCATCATCCCAGGCTCGGAATGATGGGATGATGCATGCCTTACTAAATTAAAGGAACATAATTTATCCAGTCTGGAATTATGAACATTCATCCTTACTCTCCAACTGCATGGGAAAGGGGCATTCCACTTGCCCCTGGAATTATGGAGAGGATGTGGAACACTGTGTTCAGCCAAGGATCTAGGATGGGACCACTTCACATTTGGAATTATGAGGTGATAGTGGACCTCCATCCATGAACAAGATACAATCGGACATTGTTCATAAGAAGGGCCATACACAACCCAAATGAATAGCATAAGGTCAAATCTGAACTGGTATTATGAGTAGGCTCTTATGGAGGCTGGTGCTGCTCCTACCAACATCTGGGAAATACATCCAGGGACCCAGGTAGGAGGGCCCCCAAATTTGCCCTCTTCTCCAAGAGTGTAGGAACACACTCTAACACTTTGGAGGAAAAACCTCATCCACCACCCCAGTGACTATACACCAGGTGTTGTAAGGGCTCCCTCACTCTACTAGTAGAATCTGGGGGGAGGGATGTACGTTGGGGTTTTCTGAGGAACAGTGCAGTAGGTGAAGCAAGTTCCCTAAATTTTGAAAAGCAAATCAATCACAGTTTATTCAATCTAATGATTGGCAGGGATAGGCAGGATCCCCTTTAGCTTTACTCATGATAGTCCATGAGTGACAGTCCATAAGAATATGAAAATACCATCCAGAATGTGCCTAGATGGTTTTATGGAACACCTTATTTCTACAGAGTCTGTTGCAACCAGTAGTAAGGATAGTGAAATTGGTTGTTAGTGCAGAATTAGAATGATAAAAGCACACCTGTCTGGGCATTGCTCATCACAGAATGGGATCCAGATAAAAAGTAAAGGGACCCTGGAAAGAAAAGATAACATATGATTGAAAAAATGACTCACCCTTTGTTAAAATCTAATGGATGTACTCAAAACAGCCATAGGGGGTAGTCGAAAACCTTCAGAAGAGGAAACTGCCAGATCATGCTAATAATGAGAGATTAAAGTATTGGGAAGAGTTCACATACCAGCCCACACAATGACTCGCAGCAGATTCCTCTCCTGTAAAGACAGACCAGAGTAGGCAATATGAATCAATTGTTAAGGTAATGGGGGATAAATCTCGAAAAACTGGAGGATCCCATGGAATTAATAGTCCATTTCTAGTACCCCAAAATGAGTTAGTACAAGCCACATAACATCTGAGGGGCCTGACTGGACATAACAAATGATCGGGAGCCAGGTGATCATAAAGGTGAGAAATAGCTGGCAAATGAATGGATGAGATGGATTTTTCTCCTTCTCTGGCAGCCAGAGTCTTTGAAAGGAAGTACCTATCAGGGTAAAGCAAGACATAGGTGGAAAGATAGTCTTATGTACATGTATTGCAAATAATTGAGATCAATTATGTCCAAATGCCAACAACAACAAAAATATACCTTAGTCGAAAGGTGATATAAAGAACAGAAAGCTAAAGGCTTGAAGGGATGACGAGACAATGCATGTAAAACAACCTTAACATCCCAATTAGGCAATTGAAAAGGGTTGAAGGACGCAAATAGATTTTATTAGGTTAGATATCACTGGAGAGTCAAAAACCTTCTTATCTTTGGAATATTGAAAGGTAGTCAATAATGACATTTTATATAAGGCCACAGTAGATGAAGCCAAACCTCATTCAAAAATCCAAGTAAAAAAACTTGAAATGGTAAACACCTTTGAATGAAGTGGGTTGAATTTTCGTTTTTACACCACTGACAATAAGTGTCCCATTTTCGTTGATAAATGGCCATAGTTGGTCTATGGTTTAGTTAAGTACAATGTAACTTTAGACGTTAAACCCTAATGTCTGACAAAGTCCACATAAGTTCCAGGCGTGAAGTTCGAGTTTCTGAACATCTGGGTGTAGAATATTGGATTGAGGTTGTCTCAGAGATGACCATAGAGGAAGTGGTAGAGGTGGACACACTTGCAGATATTTAAGAATAGGAAACCACGTTTGAACTGGCCAAAATGGTGTTACCAAACGAACCCAACAGGGAGTGGAACAAACCATAGCTAGAACTCTGGACAACAGATGAATTGGGGAAAAGGCATACAGATGCAAACCCATCCAGTCCTGACTGAATGCATCTATTGCTAAAGCTTGAGGATGAGGTACTGTGGACCAAAACAACTGCAGTGGAGAGTTCTAATGAGTTTCAAAGACAGCTACCATCAGAGACCCGAACTAAGAACAAATCCACTGAAAACCTCGTGATGTAGCATACATTCAGTTGGGAGAATCCAGTTGGGCTGAGAAAAATGATCTGCAATTAAATTCATCACTCTAGAAACATAGCACACTCAGAGGCTTATAAGATGAAAGTGAGCCCTGTAGAGAAGATCCAAAGTTCGAAAACATAGATCTCGAGAATGTGTGCCCCCTTGACTTGAATTGTTGGAATGGATCATGACTACTTTCCCCTTCAAGAGAGACAGACCTTAAACCATTGCTTGGTGTACCCTGGAACTGCTCTGTGAATATAAGCACCCCATCCTTGAAGAGATGCATCTGTGAACAAATGGATCTTGGGATGAAGAGGTGGAATTGGTACCCCGATACTAGTGTTGTTTTGATTCAACCATTCAAGATCTGTCATGTTGTTCCTGAGTAAGGAGACTGGATGTTCCAATGACTCGGAGTTTATGATCCATTTGTCAAACAGTGATAATTGAAGGGACCTCATATGGGCTCATCCCAAAAGAAA